ATTTTTTATTTTTCTCCGATATCCGATCCAGTAATTTAGGTCAGTATCGGACCGATACCGATATGTAATATCGGATTGGTCCATCTCTAATGCTGATGTCAGAAAATTGTGTATTTTATCATCGTTGCCTATGTGATTGGAGCAGAATCGGCTTCTATGAGACATTAAATCTTGAAAACTTATATAGTCATGCATCTATTTGATGGCAATGATGACGAGGTTTCACCAACACGCAGCTGTTTTTTTTTATTTATTTTTTTAATATATCCTCTTCTAAATGTCAAGGCAGACTACAGATTACAGATGGCTGTACAGAAAATGAGCATTGCTTTAGCCATGCATGCTTTCCAGAACTTTGCAAAGTCTAATTAGATTTTACTCACAAAAGGTCAACGTAGATGCACGTGGGAAATTTTGCACCATAATTACATAGGAGAATACACCATAAATATTATACATCTCATATCTCCCAACAAATTGAACCTAACTGTATTACAAGACACGTGAACTTGTGGTGTTCAGTGAAGTATTTTTCCATCTAACTAAAAAGTGATTTTTCTGGTATTTTAATGCTCCATAAAACTCTCTGGATTTCGTTGGATGAAAAACGTAAAATAAAATGCCCCCCACTGTTACGTGAGCAAAGTGCTGATCTCTTTCATTTACCACGGTATTAGCATTATATCTGACAACATAATTGCGCGCGTGAATTCTAATTACCTCCAACTGCATTGTTCGGCTGTGGAGCATAATATCACCTCAGGTGTTACTGGAGGGTGTGCATTATAAAGCTCGAGACAGAAAGAAAAACTCATTACACCTGCGAGGGCAATTCTAACTCATTTTCACAGCTTGAACAACCTTCTCTTTTAAGAATTAGTGTAAGCTATTTACCTCCCGAGCACCTCCTCTCCTCCTACTGCATGTAATCCCTCCAGCCATCTTCTCCACTACTTACATCTCACTCCATCCTCATTCTGCCACTTTATTCCATGCACACCCTAAAGTATGTCTCCTGTTTACTCTCCTTACTCATCCCCCGATCCCTGCACTCCAGAGTCAAGGCTGCATTTTTGCTTATTTTGGATTAAATCCTTTGTTTGTTCATTTCAGCCAGACAAGTGCGTGAAGGGTGTTTAATGAGTTGTAATCACCGTCAGCTCCAGCCAAACTGAAAAAGCACAGTGAGGGGGAGAGGGAAGCATGAAGAAAAAAAGATAGGAAGGACAGAGCGAGAGAGCGAGAGATGATCTGCCACCACAAGTTAATTTCCTCTCCCGTTGCTCCTGTTGTTTATAAGATACTAGAAGAAGACGAGAGTAAACCACAAGGAGTTGCTTTCCTTCACCCTCCCTAATCCAATTACATCTTGCCAAAAGCAAGACAGATGAAGTTGGAGAACTTTCTCACAGAAGCTGAGAAGCAGAGTTTAGTTATCACAGGTTGCAAAATAATAGGCAGAAGAATGAACTCTGCAAAAAAAAAAAAGAGAAATACTGCTGGTTTTAGGTGTTGGTGTATGATTATGGCATATTAATGTGTGCAAAACGTTTGAAAGTGTGCCTCAGTCTCTATGTGGGTACTCAGATTTATCTGCAATCACAGAGTCAGTCACAGATTCAAATGCTCAAGTGTACTGAGGTTTGCACAGGGTCAAAAACGCAAGTACAATTTGCACATGTGTGACAGAATATGCAAATATAATCAGTCAGAAAAATGATTGTGAATAGCCTCAGTGCCCTCAGGCAGCCCTTCAGTCGGCTGTCTTTGGGTCTGACAATGCATAAGCAGTGGATTACACCACCGTTTTTGCGCCACGGACCGGTTTATGCCCGACAATATTTTCACGGACCGGCCTTTAAGGCGTCGCGGATAAATACAACAAAATAAAACTAGTACCGCTACTGAAAAATAGAAGAGTTATTCATAACACACGTAAAAAGACCCAGGAAAACCGAGTAAATAATAAAAACGGTAACAAAATAACGCTGAAAACTGATAAAAACCCTGAAAACCACACATTTCACACCTGAGCCTCAACTCTCGCGGCCCGGTACCAAACGACTCATGGACCGGTACCGGTCCGAGGCCCGGGAGTTGGGGACCGCTGGATTACACTATTCACTAAATAGCTGCAAGTCAGGATTACTAACGTACAACTACTGGTACAAGTAAGAAGATGTTGTAGGGTGGTATAGACTAGGCTGAAGCGTTGCCTGTTTCTCTTTGAGAAAATAATCAGTTTTAAAGTTAGTGTGTAAAATATTGGCCACTACATGACAATAGATTACAGTCAACTGAGTTCTGCTTTCTTACCCCTCCCAGTTCAAGAGCATATGTTGGCTGCTGTAGGACAAAATATTTAAGTCAGTCAAGGAAGATCAAAACCATCAAATGTACCCCATAATTGCTGTTGTGTTTCTGCTACTGTCTGGACAGCAGTTTTTCCCTATGTGTCGAAGTCCACTGTTGACTGTTTACCTCAGCTGTCAATGCTGGGTGAGAAGTGTCCACATCTCTTTGCTCTGAAAGAAGACGTAAAATTGCTCTTCCCCTGTTTAAATGTGTAGCATACATTTATTTTCTATCTCCATTTCAACTACTTTTTCTTGTAATGGTGTAAATGTGCATGTTTTTCA